TTCCATCATAGAACATTCAAAGCTACAGGAGTCATTAGAAGCTGAAGACTGAATCGTATTCATGGGTCTTTACAAGTGGATGGAAACTGCTGAACCAACAGTGTTCGCTCAGGGCAGTGATTCTTGATTTTAAATTCCCAGCAAAGTTCAGATCTGATTTCGAGATAGTTGTTTGTTTATGAAAGCGCTGCGTTGTCAGATGACACCTCTGAGCTCCTTTATCCTGATCTGCCCAGCTAACAGCTATTAATATCATAGTTATGAGAGCGTATAGGAATAGTATATTGTGTATGATTTCTACAGTCTAAAAAGTAATTCCAGGGACCTCTGCCCACCATTTAATTAAATATACGGCTGTAGATAAAAAATTCCAATTTGGCGATTTAAATAGAAATGTTGAAGCTGTTTTAATGTGTCGGACTGAGTGTAAGCTTTCATTTCTGCGTTAGTTGATGTAAAACTGAATCAGGATTGTGGTAAACTGGCTCGATAACTTAATCATTCTTCACTTTGAGTTTAGGATTCTGAGTTGCTGTTCTATGCCTACTGAACAGTGGAATAACTTAGTGTCTTCAGCTTCTTAAATCAAGTACATAACACTGAGGAAAATACTTTCAAATAACGTGACAGGGCTACATGGAACAACTCACGCTATGGTTGAAAACTGGCTAAGATTCATTAAAACTGACTTTCTGGGTGCATAGAAATAGTCATGGATCGATTTGTTAGTTGATTAATCAAATAAATGTTGTAGGTGTACTTGAAGTTTTGAGTCGCAATAAATAGAAATAATCAAGTGAAACACCTACAAACTACACTTGATGTTCTTTTCTTTGTTGTAAATACCAGCACCTTGTTTCTTCTACCAGCACGTCCTCCGCACATTATGTCCTTGTTTTTCTTAAATGTACCACCTATCTAATCTATCTTATGATCTTATTTGAGTAAATACACTCATCATGTTTTGTTCATACTGGACTTAAACGGGAGTCAGACTGTAAACTGTACCCGACTGTGTGCTGTTACTGCAGCCGGCTGATCCTGGAGCACATGTCTTCCTTTTTTTTATTTTTTTTTGTTTTATGCACAGGTTAAATAAATAAGAACGTGTTTAAAAAGAATGTGAAACGAAGGCGGCTTTGAAGTGTGCAGACGAGGTGGTGTGAAGTTGGGTCAAAGCTTCGCTCTGAGCTGCAGGCGAACACATGAAACCGATGCTGATCTTATCTCGGCGCTGCTTAGATTAGATTGCCTGAACATCAGGATGTGAACCACTTCACACCGCAGACCAACACATTTCCCGGGTTTCTAACGTAATATTTGCCCTTTTTGTTTGTAATGTTCCCTCAGCATGAGAACCTGGTGATCCCAGCGGGCCAGTGCTGCCCTCAGTGCGTCTCCAACCCGTGTCTGTCTGCAGGGAAACAGTACCAGGTAACTGGATTCAGGGTTTATGTGGTGATTTATGCTGTTTCTGTGCAAAATCTATTCGACAACACTGTAAAAAAAAAAAAAGAAAGTTTTTAACTGTCATTACTAGAAAAGTTTGTTTTGTTGAATTTTAAATAATATTTTAGAAAACCACAGCAAAAAGGAATTAATTCACATTAATATTAAAAACCCTGTAAATCACGTCCATGTTAAACAAAAGAAACAAAACCGTCAATGTCTTACTTACTTACTTATTTAACAATGTTTGACTGTAAAATTACACAAATGTTTCTGTATTTAAATCAGAAATAAAAGGATTTTGTTTTTAGATCATCTATGCTATTGGTAGAAAAAATCTATTTATTAAAGATCGAAAACCAGTAAATATGTATATAGTTTTTTAATTTATGATTTTTTGTATTATGTATTAAAACAAATTTAATATCTTGTAAAATCACAGAAAAAAATGTGTTAATTTATATGTTGACTGTGAGGAAACAAGCCAAAACTATACAGAATATCACCATCAAAATCTATATTTATTTCAAATAATGTAACAATAGTGTTTCTCCATGAAATTACAACAGATTAACTGCATTCAAATGAGCTAAAAATGTGATTATTTTACAGATTTTTACAGTTATTTTAACCAGTTTTTCAGTTTTTAGATGTAATTTCCTTTTTCATTAATTAGTTTTTTCAGATTTTCTCTGTTTTGTTGAGTTGCACATAACAACTACTAACATTATCATATTATTACATATATTTTTTTAAATATATCACAACTCTTATTTTCAATAGATCATAATTTGTTCTTTTATAATATTTGACTGTAAAATTAAATACATTTTACTGTATTTAAATCAGCAAAAAAATATAATTTCACAGACATTTGCCGTTATTTGAAAGACAATCTATGTAGATTTCGGATAGAAAATTGTTAAACTGTCATTTTACAGAGTTTCCAAGTTTCGATTAAGTATGGAGAATAATTAGTATTTTACATGTTAGCTGTAAAAAACGGAAAAATCTCAATTTTACAAATGGTAAAAAAAATCTAAAACATTATAATTACACAATTTTTTGTATTTAAATCAGCTACAATATAATTTTGTGACATATATTTGTCGTTATTTAAAAGGAAAATGATGCACATTAATAATACACATAAGTTCATCTTTAATGTTAATGCTGCTGATACAGTTTTCAAATACGTCACCAGTGTTTAACCTTTTTTTTTTTTCAGCTTTCTTCTATTTTTCAGTGTATTTTTGTGATGTACGTTATGGATTAATCCGTAATTTTTTTTTAATTAGGTGAAAACAGACGTTCTGTTCCTGTCCTCTTTGCTTTTTCTTCCTCTCCTGCTGTGTTTTCTCCTCATTCGGCCTCTTTTCTCTCCTTCTGCCAGTTTTTTTTTTCCCTCTTTGATCACAGGCCGTCTCATTCTGTCTAATGTCTGTTTGCGTCTCCTACGACTCAAACTTTCCTCCACGTCAGCGTCATCGCAACTTCAGACATGCGTTTTTTTATTTTTTTTTGCTTTAAGGCATCTTGAAGTGTTGGGGACGTTCCAGCCTGACAAAGAGAATGAGTTATGTTATGGCGGATGCTTCTGGTCTCAAATACACGACTGACACGGCAGTAAAACTGCCGATTGTCTGGTTGCAGCAGGTGGGATTTACTGTATCAGGCAGAGAGAGAACACTCGGTTCTT